TTGCCATGTAATAGTCTATAATTAATGCAATAGTTCAGAATTATTTATTCAACCCAGAGATGTTGTCATTTAATATATTTTTTTGCAACGTAGATCCAGATAACCTTTAATTCATAATGTACACAAACTCATCATGCATTGCCGTGAAGGATTGTGGGTAAAAATATACCTAAGCAAAAACTGGTAATTTATCAACATTTGTTTAAGAAGCCCGACTCTTCTGATGAAATCCAGAAGGGTCAAGACCAGTCCAAAGTGTGCTTGCTTAAACAAATGCTGCTGGATAATATTCGATCTAGCAAGCCAATAGACTGTTGGACTGAATGTATGTGGAGACACAAAATGGAGTTCTGCTGATATATCAGACTCACATAACATTTACTATGAATTTATGTTTTTCACGGATGAGGTTAATTTCCCATGTGGAACTTTTAATACAACAATAGCCAACGGTGGCCTTGTGAATGACAGTGTTCGCTGTTTATAGTCCACATCAGGGCAAGCGCCACATTTCGACAATGCCCCCACACACTTCTACCAGGTGGTCATGGTGATTGAACCAGAAGCTTTGTGTCGAGCAGACCAAACACAATGTGCTTATTGAATCCTCAATTTGTATCGGGTCTGGGTTGGATTGACAACACTTCCAAGTAAGTTCAGTGTAAGACGAGAAACTAGTTGGGAAAAATAATGCGTACCTGTGGATTCGATCACACTTATTCTTGGTTCTTTTCGGTAAAGTCACGTAGAATGGAAACAAAAGAATAAAAATATATTACAATACTTTCCAACATGCGAGTGTCTTTTAAAGTATTTACTCAGTAGTACGGAAGCCAATGTTATGGCATTTTTCTTTGAATTTGCATATAGTCCATATTTACTCTCGTTTCTGTCTCCAAGTTTTGGACAACCCTTTGATCTGGCTGTTATGTGTATGGTACTGTAAACCACTTCGTTGAGCTGTCATTTGCGGCCAGGTCGTTTTTGAAAAAGAGATATACAGCTCAGCGGACCTTACCTGGTAAAATAAAAAAAATAGTTGAGTATGGAGTCTGTATGTCCTTCCCCAGTTCTGTGTGGGTTTCCTCTGAGTTGTCTGTTTTTCTCCCATAGCTAAACCACGCACAATGCAAATGATATTGGCCACACATCACCAATGCTGAAACATTACCTGAAAATAACTCATTCGGGATTACACACAGATGCAGCAGCTCCAAAAGCAACACAACTTGATAAATTATTTTTCCATATTGGATTAATGGATCATCGTTACAAGAGGAATGGTGACCTCATGTTACAAATAGAGAGACAGACGGGCAGAGCAAATGCATCAACGCTTTCATCCCAAGTTGGAATGCGTAAAATAAAATTAACCTTCAGAACAAGCCTTGCTTCACAGACTCTGTAATGTTATGAACAGCTAAAAATCCATCCCGGTCGCGTTTTTTTAATTATTATTATTATCATACTTCACCATGCTGACCAGCACGAGTTGGTGAAGGTGAGGGAGGCCAAGTCATGCCGTGACCAGGAATGGAAATCTGGTGGTCGGATTCATAGTCACCATCGCAAATGAGTCGATGAATGTTGCACGTGTTTTGATGGGTTCACTTTGTCTCCTGGTCAAATCAAGGATACGGCAATCGTGCGGCACGCGGATCACTGCGCCATCACTCCACGTCCCAAGCTGATGCATCGTTTTGCCTAACATGATTTCATTCCTTGTGGACGTTTCTGTTAAATGTGCATAAATTATGAACAAAAGTTTTGAAATGAAAGAAGCGCGCTAATTGCAGCGTTGTTTCTCTGGTATTTACCTTGGCATTATTGTAAGTTCGTAGGGCACGTGATCACCTTTGTGGCTTCAATTTTATTGGTAGGTAAAAAAAAAGATAAAAGGCTATGTTCTTTGGAACAAAATGGAAAGGGCTATAAATTTGGCATTTCCAATAACAGGGAAAGGCCACGCTTCAAACCTCGCGTAGTTTTTTTTTCATAATGTGTTTCACTGTGTTGTTGAAATGAGTGTCAAGTACAGGCCAGAAAAAAATACAACTGGTCATACATACAGGCACCCGAGGATTTGTGAATTAGTTGGAACAGCACCACACAGCTGTTTAATACTGCTCCGTGTCTCAATCATTCTAAATCGGGACGGTATTTAACATGCAGAATGCAGAAATGTTTGGCAGGATTTGTTTTAATGTCAGAACAGATACAATACATTATTCCCTCGTTATTTGCAAGTGATACGTTCCGGTAATGCTCATGAATACATTTTTTTCGCGGATATTGATATTTGCCTACAAAAACGTATATTTTAAATGAATTTCCTTAAATAAATACATAAAACAGCAATTGAGTGCATGTAAATGATCATAATATCACAAACATACAAATTGGTTATAATAAACATAAAGTAAATACAAATTAATATTAAAGTATTAAATAATAGTTTATAAACAAACTTACCTTAAATTTTGATTTAAAGCTTTCGTGACTGCAGGGATCCATATTCTTGGTTCTTTCGGTAAAGTCACGTAGAAGGGAAACAATAAAATAATAAAAATATAGCATCATCATGATCATCATCATCATATAATCTCACCACTTCCTTTCTCTCTATCGATGCAGTCGTGTAGCAATTCTGGTGCGATTCGCGGATAGCAAGTTCGTCAATAACGAGGGAACACTGTAGTCAGGCTTTAAACGATACTGTATTTGCTGTACTGCACTTCTTAATGCGAACACTGCATTCAGTAAATTTAATTGATTAGAATGTACGGCCCATAGTCAATCCACTGCTGGATGAAGGCCTCCCAGTGCAGCGTTGACCACGGAGGCGTGTGATATATTGTTGTACTCCATCAAGCTCGTCAACCTGGGTTGAGTGGATGAGGGGGATCCAGGACTGGTTCAGCTGTCACTTGCCACTGATCTTAGCCGTGGCTGCGACTCGAACTTAGGTTGCCAGGTGATTAGCACACTACATTATCCACCCCCTCCCCGCCGCCAAGTAAATCTACATGTGTTGTACAATACATTTCTATGACCAACAGATAACACTTTTCAAACAGGACCATGATATGCATCTGCATTTAGAAGCTATATAAATCTAAATGTTGTCTATCTTCAGTCTCATGACCCTCAGCCTTGGTCAATCCACTGTTGGATAAAGACATCCACAAACTGCTACCACCTCTCATGATTCTGTGCAAAGATGAATTTTAAATTGTGTATTCATAAGGAGATCCAAATGCGTATATAAATACAATTGTGTGTACATGTACACACATCTAAATTGTACGTGACGCTAACAACCACAATTCTGCAAACTCCACTCCAAATATGGTCGTGTGGCCGGCCAGTTCTTGAAGGAATTGACGAACAGCTGGAAATTTACGCAATTCAGATCCCTTTTGGGTGTTAGCTGTGCCTTCCATTCCACCGAGGCTGATAAAAATTTGTTCCACTTCACGTGAAATCAACAGTGGTTGGCTTATGGGAGAAACTGGACTGAACCATGGCGATGCCTAGTTTCTGCCACTGGCTTTAGGCCTGCCAACAAAAATCCAGTAAAAGCAAGCCCGTCACTTGTTTAAGCAGACACTCTGACTTGTTTAGTCTGAATTATAAATAAGATGTATCTACAAGTTGTATATGTTAAATACAAATTAGAGACCAGTTTGAATTGAATCTGGAGGTCACTTGTTCGAATTGATCTATAGGTGTGGCAGTTGAAATGCTGGTGCACGTTTCTTCAATGCCCTGACCCCTATCAACCCCGCAGTGTAATTGGCTAAAGGACAGTCAGTCGAACGGCAAGGTCGCGTGTGGTGGGGTAAGTGTGGGCATTCACCTCTTACACCCTGTATATCACACACACCGAACAAAGATGGCCACGCGCTTTCAGATGCGCTTCTGCGGCCGTCTGGAACGCCCTTCCGATATTAGGAAGCCATTGGAGCTATGCACGTTTGAATATATTGACTGAAAACTAATTTATTCAGGACTACTTTTTGTATTTAGTTTGTTGTCCATCACCCGCACCTTCGATTAGAACAGTTGGCTACGTACGATGCGAACGCATTTCAACATCCATACAAACGTAAGTGTGGGTAACGTTACCACGCTGCTTGTGTTCTAGGCTATGTGTACTTTAAGGCCACGTGAAGTGTCGACCGTCCTCTGGCAGGAAGGAGGTCACGGGACCAATCCAGGTGCCCATGTGTTGACTCACTGCTGCATCACGGAATACCTCACAAATGTGTTCACGGAGCTGAAACCAATCGATGGCACGATTCGACGCGGTGCAGGAACCGTGTACGTTACGATCCAGTTTCATAAACAACTGGAATTCCAGCAGTGTGCCGCAGTCTCACAAACCCACCGCATGCCTCGGCACATTGCGATACGACCAGCAGAGTGTCGGGGGTCTCCGACCTGGACCGAGTTACCAGCTCACGTTCGGCATCCATCCCTGAGCCAGTTTTTATTTTTGCAAGAGACTTAAAACAGTGTCGTTACGAAGAGCGTACGTTTTGCGATTCGTGCGAATTCGGGATTGGCTGGACTCGTAAGATTACGTGAATGTACGGTTGATTTTTAGCACCGTACTTAGCCAACCGCGCTGATCAGAGGTGCGTGAAAAGGACAACAAAAAGCAGTTATCAGGAAACACGTTTTCAATGTAGAGTGAAAAGCGCATAGCTCTCAGTGGCTTCCGAATAAAAGAGTGCCCGATAACAAACGCTCAGACTTCCTATAGTGGTTACGCAACTGCGGAAGGGATTGGCTGGCTGCCTTGATGCACGCAAAGCTTTAGTTCCTTAATTCCTGAGGGCGTGCATGAGTGTTGGGTGTCTGTATCGACTCCTCCGTGAAGACGTGTGCGTGCACTAAGCCAGTGGCTCTTAACCTGGCAGTGCACGCCACTCCCTTGGGGGTCGCGAGAAATGGCCAGATTTGTTGTTAACATTATAAATGTTTTAACTTTTCAGAGCCGACGGTGTGCAAGTCTGCCGTATAGGATACGAGCCACTGGTCTCAGCTTTTCCCATCATCAATGTCCTAAAGTAAAATGTGCAGCCCTGCAGTTGCTTAGTCAAGCCACTGCTGGCAGAAGGGGCCTCCGCTAGGAACGAGCTCTTGAGAGCCCCGCTCGAGTTGGTGGTTTGGCCTACTCTTCCACTCTGGACAGACGTCTTGGAAGAGGTGGGCGAGAAACCCACGGGTTACCCCGCACCACACGTGACCTGACAATCGACTTCATTGTTCTGTGCCCATTTCGACTGCGCGAGTTTGACAGGGGCAAGGGGATTCGAGAAAGGGGACGTCCATAAATGACGTCACGCGATTTTGGACGATTTTTTGACCCCCCCCTCCTTCGTCACACGACGTCACAAAAAGTCAGACCTCCCCCCTCAAATATGACGTCACAAAGCTCTGTCCCCCCCAAAAAAAAAAAAACGATATTTCCATTTTTAAAATAAAACATGCTTCAAATCGCTTTAAACTATTGTCATTGTAGTGCGTATTTAATGTGGCGCTGCACTCTGTGTGTTGTTATAATAATTCTATATTTATTTAAAGTTGCGCATTTTGATGTGACATCACATTTCTCAACACCCCCCCCCCCCTCGTCACACATCGTCACAAATGTCTGACACCCCCTCCCCCCCCCCCCTAGGTGTGTGACGTCATTTATGGACGGCCCCAAACCCGCAGCACCGCGAGCTCTGGGGTGAGGGCAGTGGTGCTCGCTACTCCACCACCACGGCGGCAGCATCGGGCCCTGTGTCGTAATCAGCGTGCATACACGCAGCACCCGCTGTACAAGTAAACCAGTAAATCACTTCGTGTGAGACATGTATAAAACAACAATAATTCAGAGATAACATTGTGAACATGTTTTTAAAGGTGGGTGGTTAAAATCCCCCCCCCCTTTCCTCCTCCTCCTCCCCCCCATAGGGCATTAGCCCCCTCGGAATGGTTTCCGTGAGAAAGACGTCGACAGGGAAAACTCACTGCCCGCTCCCCCCCCACCAATAAACCCATCGCAGTACAAGGACGCAATGGAAACAGCGAACCTGTGCGGTTGTCAACGCGCGTGTGACGCCTCGGGGTTCGACTAGGTCGACTCAGCCTCAAATGAGCATCTGGTGCGGTGTGTAAAAAAAAAAATTGCCACTGGGGAGACAAAGGCGGTCGGGCGTGGTGTTGGCCACGTCACCCCCTCGTGTGCCCCTTCCGGCCTTCACAGGAGCTGCTGCTCGCTAACAGCACTTGCCCCTACAGTCTGTTGAGGCTATACGGGGGATCTTTGTCTTTGTCGTGAAGTGCAGCACCGACTACAGTTTGCTTTCTCAAAGCCTTCGCCAGAGTGGGCTGGGGTTTTTTTTTTGGTCCCTTATCTCTTCACGTATCTAAAACATTTTTTTTCTAAAACTTATAATCACGACACACCTTACTGTATGTAAACTACCACGAGCACATTTTCACTTCGCTCGGTGTGAGCTGGCGTAAGGGAATATTCCAGTAAGCGCTCCAACGTTGATCCAACGTTGCGCGTTGTTCTTTTTTTGGCGATGGTTGAGACACGCTTGCCAACCCGTGCGCTGTACTTGTAACGAATTGGCCACGTTATGTTTACGTGACAAACCTTACTAATTGGCTGTGTCGGGTGGTGGCGGGTTTAACGACACATTTATACTTACCCTATCTAACCCCCCCCCCCCCCCCTTTATGATGTACAATCTTTTGTGTTTGCAATCTCGAACACAACAAACATTTTTTTATTTTAAAAAAGATCCTCACATTTCCATTGGCCGTGGCGAGAGCAAACCGTGGTACCCCATTGGCTGCTGGGTGTCCATTGGAACCCGCAGTTTTGGTTGGCTGCGAAAGATGCACGCCTCGTGGCTGCGTCATCGTTTGCCTGTTGGTGATCCCTGAACCACCTGGCTTGTTTGCGCCCTGTCCCATAATCCGCGGATTTACGATTGACAATGTTTGGCAGCAGAGCAACGGCTGTCACACGTGGCTGCGAGCGAAGGACGTCGCTCTGTTGCCTTCTGGAAGAGAAAGAGAGAGAGAGGCCTCTTGTTTTGCCAGACGCGAGGGCGGCGAGGATCGGTGACGGGGGAGGACGGCGATAGGGAGGAGGAAGATGAGTGGAACGCGTGTGACATCACCGACTGCCTTGTCAGCACTCGCTCACAGCCAAAGTGGATGTTGACGAATGATGCCCGGAATCGCGGTGTCATTTTTTTTTAATTCTTCCTCCTCCTTCTCTGTTCATCATTTCTCTACAAAGGTGTTTGTAAGTGGTCAGCGATGCTTAAATTGCTCGGGATCAGCAAGACACAGCAGAAACAGAAGGGATTCACCAGGCTAGTCAACATGATTGATCGCGTTCGAAATGCTGAATGCAATGGGGAGGGTTTTCTGGGAACAGACACTGCAAAAACAGTTATCAGTGATCATAATAATAATAGAAAAAGGGGCAGTTGAAGGTTAGAATTGTGGGTGCCTCATTTTGCACAAACATCCATTGCTTTCTACGTTTATGGATTGTGATTAGTCCACGGGTGGTACAATTTTAGAGGATATACTTTTGTTCGTCTGGTGATATAACTTCATTATTAACATTTATATTTGCATTTTCTTCTACAAGATAAGATAATTAACATTTCAGTCTTCATGTTCATATTAAAATTTGATAAAATATGAACTGATACGTTAAAATGTCATTTCCCCACAAAGGAGTCAAACTTAGTATAGAAGTTAATGTAGAGGATTTTTTATGATAATGATGATTGTGGTGATGATTGTCAGAAGAGGTTAAATTGGGGCAGATTATGATTTTCACAGCCGAAATTAACACATTTTAGAAGAAAAAAATCCGAATAATCATCAATCTAACACATTCGAGCGTGATAATGTTACCGTTTTTATTTTAATTAAGGCTGATCCCAATTAGCCCAAGCAGATATTAAAGTTGAGATTGGAAAGAATGAAGGTTCACTTTTAGGTAGCTTCAGTCTGTTTCTTTTGACCTGGGGAATTATTGAATTAGCTCTGAAGGAGATTGTGTCGGCAGAGTTGATTTTGATTCGCTGATCGAGCTGTAACTGTCGGGCCGTTCTTTCTTTTTGTTTCATTTGTGGATCACGAACGCGTTGTGGAGAATGCGTTTCATGTGGCTGCGCTGTCCTCGCCCTTTGTCACGGCTCGTCACCCACTGTGTAAATTGCCGTGCGGGAACCTCTGAACCGAAGCATTCAAAGTGCGCCCTAATATTCGCCTGCACAAAAAAAAGGACAAATCCCTTGGAATTCTCACCATTTCATTGAACGTTGTCTGTTGCTGCTTACACAGTTCCACACACACACGAAGGTTACAGCTCCACAGATTAGCCGTATGGATTGTCAGCCAGGGGTGGTTGTGGCCAATTGGAGGCCCTGGGCAGAAATTATTTTTTTTTAACCTCCTCCCCATTTCGATTTATAAACTCCTTGTGAGATGGCCAAGGAGATAGAGATGTGGTGAGATGGGAGAAATGCAGACGAACGATAGAGCCGTGGTGAGGTGGGAGAATGGAGGTGCAGGCAATATAGGGATGAGAGGGATGAATTCGTTTTGTTATGTATATTAATTTTTTTTAAAATTTCAGTTGGTATTTTATTTATCATTAATCCGCGGCCCCTTGAGCCGCTTGGCGTCCAAAGAATTCGCTGAGTTCGATTACGCCGAGCGCCGGCACTGATTGTCACGGCAGGTGCTGTTTGCGAGCAGCCATGAAGGTTGGCATAGCACAAAAGGAATTGGATGAGCAGATCTCATCTCATCTTTGTGTAGATTTAAATAGCGCCTTTGTCCCAGGCGCTTTACAATAATGAATACAATTGTACATTAGATGACAGCGGTTAACATAAAGAGCGGGGTTAATAAGTGTCAGTGCAGCTATGGTAACCGTAAGGAGGACAGGCAGGAGTGAGTGGTTAAGGAGGGGTGGTGATCGCGGTAGAGGAAGGACTGGTCGTAGCTGGCGGGCCAGGGCAGGGAGGATAGCAGTAGGATAGGGTAGGGAGGAACGGACGGAGGTCAATGAAGATGATTGTTTGATGTGGATTATGTGGCCAGCACCAACATGCAGCTTGATCATCTCCCCAGTGTGAATGTTCACACACACCGCAACGACTTCTCACTGAAGGCCAAGTCGGTGTCAGAGAAGCCTACAAAGATTCTGTTATCGTTGCCAGCGGTTGCGTTTCCATGGCCAGGGCTTGGACGTTTGTTGCCAATATTGCAAATGAGTGCTAATCACCGACGCCACTCCTGCGGACGCACAAACGTATAGACATAGGGATGCATAAAAATAAAAATGTCCTCCGTATTGCCTTAATTCTTTTGGGGCAAGTTTTGTTCACGTACACCTATGAAGGCCGGCAGGGTACGCGAGATGGTGGGTGGCCAGCACTCCACGCCCGACCGCCTTTGTCTTCCCAGTGGCAATGTTTTTACACAGCGCACCAGGTACTCATTTGAGGATGCGTCGACCTAGGGGAGCAGGCCCAGGACTGGCTCAGGTGAACGTCACTGGTGTTGGCGGTGAGCGGGAATCAAACTCGGGTAACCGGCGATGTTCGAAGCGCAGCGTAGCGCTAACTGCTACACTACTGCTCCCCCATGCATGTACACAAAACTAAAGACAAATATCCCCCGTAAAACCTTAACAGACAGTTGGGGCAAGTGCTGTTAGCGAGCACCAATGAAGGCCGACACGGCGCACGAAGGGGTGGATGGCCAGCACCACGCCGGACCGCCTTTGTCTCCTTAGTGGTGATGTTTACGCAACGCACCAAGGCACTAATTTGAGGCTGAGTCGACCTAGGGGATGCCTAGGGTCTGATTCAGGTAATCATTGGTGATGTGTATGCATGTGCACATAAACGCACAAATCCGACACATTTTACCCCGCCAAGCGGCACCGGTAGAGCGAGCGGCTCACAATGGAAAGGTTGTGAGTTCAAATCCTGGCTAAGGATTGGCTCAGCCCATCATTCCTCTGTGGTCTGTAAAACCAATACCACTTTGGAGGGATGTCAACAGTTGTTGACATGTGAAGTTAACTCAGCCCTGTCATACGAATGTGGAATTTGCACCACTGGCTCAGGCCTGGTCACGAATAGATGATAACTTGCCTGAATGATTATTTGAGCCAAAAAAAAATCGCTT